TCACTATATATATATATATATATATATATATATTACTTTTATAAGTTTAATTTTTCATTATTTTTCTATTTCAGAACAAATGAATTAGCACTTTAGTTAATAAATCAAGCTCAAAAGTATATTTCTACCCAACTTTTAAAAACATGTGAGGAATATTTTGACACGTTTGCACTTATTATATATATATATATATATAATCTGACACATTTTTCTGACTGGAAGGAGCAGGGGAGGAGGTAGTAATGAATAATGATTAATGGTGGGCTGAGGTGGGTTAGCAATGGAGAGGTCAGGTGCTTATCAGGAACAGTGGAATCTGGATAAAGTTACGTACGGATTTGGGCCCTCATCTCACATGGCATGAGCCCATAATGGGTGGCAGTTTTTTGGGACCTCATTTGCTTTGATTTATGGCAGCCGAACTGGAAGGCAGTATTTTACCTATTTGATAGGGTCTACAGTTTACGTTTACTATTTCTATTATTATCATCATCATTTGGGTTTTTTTATGATTGGATTAGGGATTGATTAGATGCATTAACTCAATTATATATATATATTTATGGAAGATAATATGATGCATCTGAATATTTCTGATATTGTTGTATAATATTGTGCGTTTTTTACATTTATAAGGAAGATATAGATAGTAAAATGGTAATGTGCAATTATTATGTGGTATAATCATTATTGTTCAATATTTCTCTTTTTTTTTTTTTCAATTTTTTTTTTTTCAATTTTTGTCCCTCTAACCATTAATTTCAAAAGATTTCTACAACTATGTTAAATAGTAATGTGCAATTATTATGTAATAGTAAAATCATTGCTACTTTCATATGAAACAACAAACTCATTTTGCAAGTGTCGCATTTGATTGTAAAAGCGATAAAATGCGTTCTAATATCATAAGAGCATTTAATAACAATATACATTATGAATTTTAAATAACTTTTTGGGAAATTTAGGGCGAAGAAAAAACATAAATCGACACAAAATCAGAAGAGCATAGAGATTTAAAGAGGTTCGGTAAACATGTCTATGTTCTCGGGAGCAGAGCTGTGAATTCACTATTTCAGAGGAGTCCACACATCATATATATATATATATATATATAACTCAGAGATAAAATTACTAACACGCCATCGCTCCTCACAATCCACTAAAGTCTAAGAGATACCTCTTCAATTCCAAGAGACACTCATGTTAATTTTAGGAGACTCTCATTCATTCCAGGAGACACTCCTATTCATTTCAGGAGACATCTTCAAATCCAAGAGACCCTAAATTCTGGTATATGAGTCATACCTAACAAATCTCCACCTTGGTGAATATCCAACCCCTTAAAGGAAATTCATATACCTAACAAATCTCCACTTTGACTAATATAGGAGAAATACATATACCTAACAAATCTTCACCTTGGCTAATATCCAGCCCCTTAGGAGAAATAAAAAATATCCTGGAGTTTCTTACACCAAAGTGGGTTGGACAACTATGCCTTCTAACAATTGCAAACATTTAACAAGTTCAAGCAGTGCAAGAACTTGTTGTTAGTATCTAGCTTGGTCAACATATCTGTTGTCATCTCAACATATGATTCAACAGAGTGAACTTTACCTACAACTGTACTCCCCAACAGTTTATAGATATTATCTGCATCAATCTTTCATTTCATCACAGACTGCACCTTTAACAATTCTGATGGTTTCTCTATCCTCATCTGCATTAGGAATAAAATCATTTGTGTGTAAAGTGTCCAAGGAATTTACAAATCTGAAATATGTCTCACATCACATAATGTTCTGATAGTGTCGTCATACATCTTAATTATGACTTTGTCAAGACCAGCAATATTGTAACATCTATCATCACCCAAATAAATTGAGCCAGAATCAGATAGCATGTATGAAGTAAATCATTCTCTGTTATGTGTTATGTGATAAGAGTTTCCTGAATCAAGAATCCATGCATCCTTCAACTGAGTTGTTGTAACTGAAAGTACATCACCATCACTACAATCTGAATTGTCACTTTGCACCATATTCACAGACTTAGAAGATACATCTAATTCTCATCAAACTGCTTCTTGAGCTTTGGAAAATCTCTTTTCATATGTCCCGGCTCCTTGCACTTGTAGATGCATTAACTCAATTATATGATATATTTACGGCAGATAATATGATGCATCTGAATATTTATGATATTGTTGTATAATATTGTGCGTTTTTTACTCTTATAAGGAAGATAAAGATAGTAAAATAGTAATGTGCAATTATTATGTCGTATAATCATTATTGTTCAATTTTTTTTTTCTTTTTTCCTTAATTTTTGTCCTTCTAACCATTAATTTCAAAAGATTTCTACAACTATGTTAAATAGTGATGTGCAATTATCATGTAATAGTAAAATCAATGCTTCTTGCATATGAAACAACAAACTCATTTTGCAATAGTGTCGCATGTGATTGTAAAAGCAATAAAATGCGTTCTAATATCATAAGAGCATTCAATAACAATATAACATTATAAATTTTATTTTGGAAGGGAGAAATTTCATCTTTTTTATTATTATTATTTTCAAATTAGTATAATAATTGGCTAGAACTTGGCCTACCATATGACAAGAACCTTCATTATTCATCAATTATTCATACCCTACCAAAGATTGAAATCCCGAAATTTATGGTTTACGGCTTCTTATGAATGCTCATGCAAATAGCATTTAGATTGAAGGTTTATTATATAAATAGCAAATTATAAATTATAAGTTTAACAATTAAGTACACAAAAATTGCATGGTTTGTTAATGTTGTAAATGCAAAAGATCAACCTAATCTACTGTAATTTGACAGAATTAATTGTTGACATCATCATTTCACTTTGAACCCTAATTAAATTTAGGATTTTAGAACAGAGTAGACGGCGACTTGTCATTCAAGATGTTGAAGATTCAAAAATGAGAAGGGCCAAAAACCGTGAACTAATAAGATATTAAGATGTGCAAGTTACTGGATATTCTTCATCTATGCTTTTGACAAGTCACATTGATAACGATATAAGCAATATATTAAATGGCGTACACCCCTCTTACTTTTCAATAGATATCCACATCTCAACATCACATGTTACCAATATATTCGCCTATTTGGGAACAACTATTTTAACA